AGGCTCAGGTCGTGATCTCGGGGTCCTGGGATCGAGTCCCGCATCGGGCTCTCTGCTCGGCAGGAAGCCTGCTTCCCTCTCTCTCTCTGCCTGCCTCTCCATCTACTTGTGATCTCTCTCTGTCAAATAAATAGATAACATCTTTAAAAAAATAAAATAAAATAAAATAAAATAGGGGCCAATCTTACAGCAAGAACTATCACATCTGCTGAGAATTATACTTTTGATTCTTGTTGTCACTTTCCTCTCTGAACTTTCTCTAAACTCTGACTTGCTATTCCTGCCTAGATATTATCCAATTCCTCTGGACAACACAAAATTGGTATCCCTTAAATACTTCTTTTTAATTTTCATATTCCTTGACTGTCTTGAGTTAAATGCTTGGCTCATTAATTTTAAGGCGTGTCTTTTCTTAAGGGGAACCCTCTTACACTGCTGGTGGGAATGAAAGCTGGTGCAGCCAGTCTGGAAAACAGCATGGAGGTTCCCCAAAAAGTTAAAAATAGAGCTACCAAAAGACCCAGCAATTGCACTACTAGATATTACCCAAAAGAAACAAACAGAGTGATTTGAAAGGGCACATGCACTCCAAGGTTTATAGCAGCAAAGGCCACAATAGCTAAAATATGGAAAGAACTCAGATGTCCACTGACAGATGAGTGGATAAAGAGGATGTAGTGTATATATACAATGGAATCTTACTCAACCATCAAAAGAATGAAATTTTGCCATTTGCAATGACACAGAAGGAACTAGAGGGTATTATGCGAAGGAGAAAAATAAGTTAGTCAGAGAAAGGCAAAATATCATATGATTTCACTCATATGTGGAATTTAAGAAACAGAGCAGATGAACATAGGGGAAGGGAAGGAAAAATAAAATAAGATGAAAACAGAGAGGGAGACAAACCGTAAGAGACTCTTAACTACAGGAAACAAACTAAGGGTTGTTGGAGGGGAGGTGGGTGGAGGAATGGGGTAACTGGTTGAAGGGCATTAAGGAGGCACTTGAAGGAATGCGCACTGGGTGTTCTATGCAACTAAAGAATCACTAAATTCTACCTCTGGAACTAATACAGTATATGTGACCTGCACTGAATTTAAATAAAAAAGTTAAAAAAAAAAGAGTGTCTTCTCTTTATAAGTCACACAGAGAAAGACAAATACCACAGGGTTTCATTTATTTGTGGAATCTAAATAACAACACACAAACAAAAAAC